GGGACAGATGAAAATCAAGCATAAACAGGTAAAATGTCAGACACGGGGTGACATTTTGTCAAGCCATGCTTGATATTTTATCGCACAATGTCTGATAATTATGTCCAACTCGGCTTGCCATAATATAGCTATAGTATAAGATTCAACTACGAAGTTCACATGGTGCATTCCCAAAAAGATGAAAATCTGCATGAAGATCAGAGGACAAACTACAAATTAAGCGAAAAAGTGAATGAATAAGGAAGGTCATGCAGGATGATCACCACTTCAAAATCATACTATCGCCAAATAAGTACAATAAATAATACCTAAATAAATACAAAAACGCGTTTTATATAAAGAGATATAAAAAATGTATAATGAGTTTAATATTGTTACTATAGTTGTTAAGCAACTTTATTTAGTCTTCAAAGAATAGTTTGCTTTGACCAAAGTACCAAAATTATGTTCTAAATCTTTGTATAAAGAAGATAAACAACAAATAAAAACAGTTAATATAGTAATTAAAAATAATAAACCAGTAATAAATTTTATACTTAAATAATTATTAAACTTGATATTTTCAGCTTTTTATAAACCTTTGCCTGACATTAAAAAAGAAAAGGAACAAGAAGGGAGAGTTTCAAAGTTACAAAATCACTACCGTTAAATAAATCAGGCACAAAACAGGGTAAAAAAGATTCATACATATAACGGTAAAATCACATGATTACTCCGCTTTAGACTATTATCACCAACAGATTTAATTATATAGATATAGATTTCATATTAAAATTCAAGAATAACTTGAAGAATTAGAAGTGTAATTTATTATATACAAAATTACTGCAGACTACTTAAACAAAAAAAAATGCAAATTAATTTAGAAAAATTAAATTTCTCGTAACATCAATTTTTTATTTAGTTTATATTCTAGATTTATTCATTTTTTTAATAATGAGAAATAAATTTGCAGCAAGGACTATATATATCATTACCAGGAATGAGCACTCTTTTTCATTGAAAATCATTTTCAATTCTTTAGCAGCCGGACTTTTTTTTTTTGAGATCACCTTTTCATTAATTCTGCACATTCAGGTATACTAGTAGTTCCTTTTATAATTTCTGGTCTAATACCTTTACAAATATCTAAATAAATATGAAAGTCATGAGAAATATTATGAAATTCTGAGACCCCTGATGTCAACTCCTTCCTATATTACTGTATAATGATACACATCAGCAGCTTTTGTACTATATACTGTATATATATATAAAACTACTCCACATATATTATTTTTTATGTTAGATTGATTAACTGGTTTACATAATCCAAGATCACTAATCATATTTCTCTATGCTATAGAAATCTCCAAAAACAAAATTTGAATCAAGGATTCCTTCATATTGAGATATGCATGATATAAAATTCTAAATTTATCATTTGGATTATATTTTATTTCTAAAACTACCCACTGTTGGATGTATTACAATCATGCAAATTAATGTGTCTGGATTCCAAATAATGGGGTAAGATATGAACCATTTGATCTTTGCTGGCATTGTCAATGCAACTACTACGTTTATTAAAAAATAACATCAATCATTACATGAAATTAAAATATTTCTATAATTAATGACAAAGTTTAAAATAATTAATCACCTCGGTTAACTTTCTAAGCGCTATAGGATACTTTTCATTAAATTTAAGAAAAATTTTAAGATCATTTGCATCTTTATTATCTCATACATCAATTTTAAAAACCGTTCACTTTCGATCTTGTTTCTCATAATCCCAATGGTCTATAAATTCATCTAACCAAGTGCCTATATAAACTGTGCTAAAACCTTCTTGTGCAAGAAATTTAATATTCCTTAATTGTGCATAAGGGATTCATTCAAGTAACTCATATTTATTTCTTACTTTTAATTGTGATTTACGTATAAATTTATCAACATGTTCATTTCTACTAGTCCAATTACTAAAATTTTTCTGAAATCTTTTGGAGTTACATTTCCTTAAACCAATTATAAAAAGTATTTAATTTATTACATTCAGGACATAAGCCAAATTCTTGATTAAGTATTATGTGTTCGTGGATATCAAACCATCATCGGAAGAATCATTTGAGTTTGCAAAATTAATTTCTTTATCCTCATCAAATAATATTCATTTTTTTTAAAGAATTTCGTTAATAAATTACTTATTCTGTAAGCTAAAATATAATATTGCTTTGCGGGATTATTGTAAATGTCAGTTGATCAAATAAAATGGCGCAGTAATGATGTTTATGAATGTAAGATATCTGACAGATCATTAGTCCGAAGTGTAACGAAGGACTATATATTTCTATGGATGTCACTCATCACAGAAACTGAACCTATTTTCCTTAGACAACAGATTGTTTCCATTTTCCTAGTACAATTAGGTAATCATGAATTCAAAGTTATTAATATACTAATTTGCAAAATATGGTTCAAAATATTTATAATTCAATTTCAAGCAAACTACGTCAATAGAAGCTAATGTATGTATATATAAATGTATAACAATCACGCACATGAGTACCGTTTCTGCTTAAATATATTGATTCTGGACGTTTCGCTTTGAACCCTTGTTGATATTTGTTTGTTTAAACGTGAAATATACCTTCAACAACAATATTGATGTTAATCGTTGCAAAATTCAAAGCAATTAAGGATTTATCAAAAATTAATCCGTCAATTTTATTCGCAAGTGAAATGATGATAATGCACGCGTCTACAATTAGAACATTTATTATTAAATACTATTTTAACGATTCTTATTGATTGAAATTTATTTAATAAATTCTTATATGTTAAATTAAATGTGTGTGAAAAAAAAAAATAATTATTATTTTAATTTAAATTGATTAAACTTCAAAACTTGATGTTTGTTAATTAAGTTTTTATACTGCAAATGTAATGGAGTAATGGGTAAATGTTTCTATTTAATATATTTAATAACAATATAATGCATACATGAATTTCTAATTTGCAACTTATCAGAAATAAAAAACACTACAAAAATTGTGGTTGAAAGAAATTTATTGGTCGTTTGCCTAGTACGTTCTTTTGGCGATTCACGGTTATTACTAGTAAAATCTTTATTAAAAAAATAAATGAAAATCGAAAAAAAAAAATTAAAAAGAAAGCTTTTTTAGCAATAACATTTTTTTTTTTTTTAAAAAAAAAAATAAAAGTTTGAAATATAAACTTTGCCAAAATATTATAATAAATAACAAGAAATATTCTATCTCTAGAAAAACAATTCACATATATCGTATAATAAATTATTAACTGAATTCACATCACAAAAGAATTTTGATATTACAAAATTTGACGTCAGAAATGTCGATCGCATATTTGACTAACCATTTAGGTAAATATTCATATGAAGCCTTTTAATACTGACGAAATTTCTACGTTCATTTTTCGGAAAAAAAATTTGTTTTTTTTCTTTTTTAAATTATGTCACGTAATTTTGAATCTGAAATCTCTAAAGCATTCGAACAATTATTAAAAAATGAAACGGATTATAATGTTATAATTTATATTGGAGAAGAACCCAATATTAAAGAATTCCATGCTCATCATATTATATTACGTTGTAGATCCGAATATTTTAATAAAATACTTTCTGATGAGAATATAAAGAAAAAAGATGGAAATTATATAATTGAGAATTCAAATATCGATCCCCAATCTTTTAAATCTATTCTCAAGTAAGTTATCAAATGAAATTATTATTATAAATTTACGTTATGTAACATTTACATTTTTATAAAATTGAATTAACACATGTATATACTGTACTGTATATATATATATATAATAGGTATCTTTATACTGGTCATATTAATATCACAAATAAAAATGAAACCGAACTTTTAAATATTTTGATAGCCTCTGACGAATTAAAATTGAAACGATTAACAAAACTTACGGAAGAATTTATTATTGAAAAACATCATCAATTCTTACAAAATGATCCGGTTGGAATTCTTCAAACCGTTTATTATCGTAAATTTCTTGTTAAATTACAAGAATTTTGTTTAGAATTAATCTGTTATAAACCTAAAATTTTATTCAATTCTGATAAATTTATTAATTTACCTGCTTCTTTATTAGAAATTATTTTAAAAAGAGATGATTTAAATTTAAGTGAAATAGAAATTTGGGAAAATTTAATTAAATGGGGATTATCACAAGAACAAGAATTTAATCAAGAAATTTTTCAATGGAATCAAGATGATATTAATATTTTTAAAGGAATTCTTCAAAAATTTATTCCTTTAATTAGATTTTATGAAATATCTTCTGAAGATTATTATAACAAAGTTAAACCTTATGAAGGAATTTTATCTAAAGAATTAATAGATGAGATTTTAAAATTTCATATGGTTCCAGGTTACAGACGAACTCTTAATATTTATGGCCCAAGACATTCAAATTATGGAATTATAAATAATATAAGGTATGATATAATCATAATTTATTTAATTTTACGTCAATTAATTGTGAAACTATTGAATCACCCACGATCACATATTAATTATTCGATAATATTTATCACTATACGAATTTATATAAATTACGAGGTAAATATAATTTGACGTTTTATGACTTATTTCGAATGGAAGTTGATTATTATTTGATTTATTTTTTGTAGATTAGTTCGTTTTTTTCGAAAATGAAATATTATCAAGCTATCATCGATATCATCAATTTCATCATCTTCGATGATGAAATTAATCCGATATCACCGCTTGAATTACCTCCGCCAAAATTACCTTCTCCACATTTAGTTTTATATATTTTATTATTGATTTTATTAATATTAGATTATTTTGATGGAGTTATTGTATTTAAAACTCTTTATTCTATCTGGGCATGTTTTTTTTATCATCGAATAATTGCGAGATGATTTGCCATTTGACCAATTGAAAAAAAGGTGGTAGGATGTACCAACACGATGTATATCGACATATCGGTATATTAATATTAACTATTTTTCTATTTTTGCAATTAATATTTTTTACAAAATAAAAAGTTCTTTTATATAACCAGTTGATTAACGACACGTTTTTATTACTTACTTATAATATTCTAAAATTTGAAGCAATATATCATTATTTACCGCTGAGAGAATAATAAAATTAGATAATATCAAGCGCTTTTTCATCATTTATATCTTGCGGAAGTTATTATAAATGAATTACGTTGTTTATCAATTATGTTTTATTCATTCGTAATCACATTAGTTTAATGTTTGGAATAGGTTTTCACATAAAATAAATATTTAAATATTTATTAAATTATTGGTGTCAAATTTCGCGCCTTATTTGAAAATTAACTCAAGAACTTCAATTGAAATGAAAATGGCAGTCATAACATTGACAGGATGATTGAACCGGCAAAAAACAATTGATTTGATGTATGTAGGTATGTAGAGTCTTTTTCACTATATGGTAAAAATTACCGCGCTTGTTGAAGATTGCATTTTGTTCTCTTTAAAAGGTTCACCAAGTTTTCTACTTCAACGCTTCGCGGTTTACAAAATTTTTAAGACACGACATCATCAATTACGCAAAACAAATTTCGAAAAAAAAGTTCAAAATAAACTGCAGTTATTATATTAAAGAAATATATACAAATATTGTCATGAAATTATTAGGAAATAATTAAAAACTAAATTTTATTACTTTGTGCCACTTCATCTTTAAATAAATCATTAACTTTTATTAATTCTGTACGAAATGAAAACTTGGATTTTTTTTAAAGAAAAATCAATCATAAAAAAAATTTCTCTAATCCACGAATATGTACTTGAAATATTTATCATTTAAATTATTACTATATAATAAGCATTAATAAAAATATATACAGTATATAGATATAAACTTAACTTACCGGATAAAGAAAATTAATCTATCCTTTTAGTTTTAAATATCACATAAAGAAGGAAGTTTCATCACCTCTATTAGGTTCAGAACCTCTTTAATTGAACCTTCATTATCAGGTCCTGGGATCGCTTTAACTGGGTCCATCAACAGATCCTGGAATGCAGCAATGATGGAACAAGCTATTTCTTTAGTAGTATAATCAAGGAATGATTATAGTCGAGTTTATTTGGTGAGCAACACTCGATATTTTTATAGGTGAAATTCCCACTTCTAGCTAAATTGAATATATAGTCCAAAAACTAGGAACTCGTAATTAATCAACCTATAAGTGTAAAGATCTTGCATCACGAGAAATCCTTCTAGAAATTCATTAGAATAGAAAATATATCAATAATAATTGTATCACTTGTAATTTTGGTCATTGTACAGTACTTGATGGCAAATTTAGCATTCTTTACCATTAACAGGAAGATCAGAGTTAATTGATTCTGAATCAAATGATAGAGGTAATGATGGACATGTGATGATTATATTAATTATTGAGAACGCAATCATAAATTAAATTTCGTGTATCGATAACTTGTGCTTTGATAAATTTCAGATTCGATTCCTTTCTTATAAGTAAAAAGTACAAGTTATTCAGATTTTCTTAAAGTGTTCTTGATTCAAAAATGTTTCTTGTAAAAAGCAAGATTTAATATTAAAAAATATTTAAGCTAGTTTAAACGCCCATATAAAGTTACGAATCATTATTATGCATCGTTACTGTATCTATATATTGTAAATAATTCAATTAAAATTTTGTTGATGTATTGTAGTACTTCGTACTGTATAACAAATTACAAGATCACGAGAGGAAATTAATTCTTTGGAATATATACAACATAATTAGACTTTTTAACAAGTGTCATAAGAGCGTTAAAAAGTTACTTTTGTAAAAGATCATTGAATAAAATTATTCGACATACTTAAATTTTCAAACATGTAATAGATTTATTCAAATACTTTATCTCCAAAAACAAAACAAAAAAAGAAAGGAAAAAAAAAAAGAAATATATTCTAATAATTCTAAAATGAATCAACAAAGAATTTAACTATTCGGTTTCTAATTCTTTAAGAGATAAAACAATATCATATATATTAGGACGTTTATCAGGATCATCCACCCAACAAGCTAAATTATATAATTAAATTATAAAAAAAGAAAAGAAAGTGATATACGTTAATTATGTTAATAATTTTATCTTAATAAAAAAAAAAATAATAATATTTTTTATTTACCTGTATACAAATTACTATATTTAACCGGAGTATCTTCAACAATTTCTTCCCTTTTACCTTTTTTAATTTCTTTAACTAAATCTATATCATATTCTATACCTTCAGGATAAAAAGGTCTACGACAACTTGAAATTTGCCATAAAATAACACCCAAACTATAAATATCCGATTTACTATTCAATTCGTAAGGTTTAATTTCTTCTTGAAGTTTATACATACTATATAAACTTTGAGGATCCATATAAGGAATAATACCCAATTTATTTGTAAAAATCTCATCATAATGTGAATCTTCGGTTATTTTTCTTGATAATCCAAAATTTGTTAACTTGATATTATTCTGATGTACGAGTATATTATAAGAATTCTATAAATAAAGAATAAAAAAAAATAAAAAAAATAAAAAAATCATTTTTGATTAAAAATCATTTGATTCAAAAATCGTTTTGATTAATTATTTTGATTAATATTAAAATATGATAATAATTTATAAAAAATTTATAAAAAAATTTTATACCAAATCTCCATGAACGATATCTTCATTATGAATACATGATATAGCGTTTGCAAGTTGTATTGCTAAACGTAATTTATCATTCCAATCAAGTCTATTAAAATTTTCAATCAAATAACTATGTAACGTGCCGCCATCAGCATATTCCATGATCAACAAATACTTATTCATTTGATGAATTAATCCGGTTCTCAATTTAGAGATTCCATAAAATCGTAAAATATTTGTATGAAAATCCACCTCACGTTGTATTTTCAACTATTATTAAAAAAAAAAAAAATTTAATATTTTTAAAAAAACTTAAATAAATTTAGTATTTATATTCACAGTTTAAAATAATAATTACCTCATTTACAATTTCTTGAACGGTTAATTTATATGATGATTTTAAAACTAATACAGTATCAGAATCTTTCCAATTTGCACGAAAGATATTTCCTACAGAACCGATACTAATTTCTTGTATATTATTAAAATGAGAATAATCATAAAATTTAATATGTTCTTCTACGATGGCTTTTTCTAACCAATCAATATCAGCGCTTGAATCAGTTTCTTGTTTTTTGTAAATGGATGACATTGTATCGCAAGTAAAAAAAAAAATAAGAAAGAAATTTATTTTTATTCGTTTGTAAAAAAAAAACAAAACTTTAATTTATAGCTATTATTACTGATCGTCAATTCGCATGTGTGATCAACATATTACGTATTATAAAAATCATACTCGGAGAAAAGATTTTTACGGTTTATCAATTATAATACATGGACTCTTGGACTTTCAAATTTTCGATACAATTTAAAAAAATAATTTACGATAAAATAGTCGGTGTAAAATTTTTTTTAAAACTTTAAGGAAAAAAAGATTTGGTGAAATCGAAGCGTCACGTGAAACATTGAGTACCCCAAAAACAAACTCCGGAGCTAAATTAATTTTATTTGGTAAGATCAATTCCTTATTATGGTTTTCAATCACCAAACGGGGTATCATTCATTTATGACGCAAGCGAATACATTTTTTTTAGCCTTCTTTATTATCACCTGGATTGGATGACGGAGTGGTGACGGATTCTCCGATAAAAATAACTAAACCTTTTAAAGTATACTACAAAAAAGAATTCTAAGACTTATATATCCATGAAAAAATTGATTGTTTTTTAACAATTAATTTTATATTTTAATTCATTTTATTGTTCTTTAAAACTAAAAAAACACGATTATGCAATCGACATAATTGTTTTTTTTGTATAATTTTGTGGGCGTTATTGTAATTGTTATAAAGCACAAAGAAAATTTTTAATTGTTTATTTATTATTTGTTTATTTTTTTTTTTACATACTAATTATATGCAACTGAACTCGATAAAAATAATACCTACCTTCCTTCTATGTGATCATTAAATGTGATATATTTACATCTGTCGGGCGTTTCTACTGAAAAAAAAAAAAAAAAAAAAAATAGTAAAATAAAAAATTAATTTTTTTTTCGATACAAAAAGATGAAATGTTACGAAACGGACGTAATTATAATATGTTGATTAAATTTTCTTAAATTACGCTTAATCTCCCGTCAATTTTTAATATTTTTAATATTAACGAAGACAAAAAAGTTTTTGGTAATTAATTACATACCACATTAAGTTACTTTGTCATTTTTCAATGCATCGTTATAACATTTTTATGATTTTTACCGTATTTTTTACCAAATTTTGAAAAATTGAAGCTAAAGATAAATACATAAAATTTTTTTCATATAATTTACAAAAATAATAAAATAATTTCTCGCCGATTTTTGATTTGATTTATCATCTTAACGTTGAATGCACTGACGCCATTATCTAGCGTCCTAAAACTCGAGTTATTCACTCATATGGTTAAACGTTATTATTGTTGATTTATACTTTTTGATTGGCGGGAACTATTTTGTAAACTCAGTAATCATACACTGAATAAGGTTTTTTCAATTATTATTGTAAATTTTCTGTATGTTTTCTACTGTATAATGTTAGTAGTCATTCATGCACAGTAAAGATGTGTACTATACAAATAAAAAAGAAACATTTCCTATTTATAGAAATTCATCAATGTAATGTTTTTGTGCGAAAAAAATTCTATATCCTATATTTAGTAAAACAAATATAATTTTTAAAAAAATTTAAATTTATGAAACCTTAAACATGTTTGAAGTAGCGATTAAGTTTCAGTATTATGATCATTTTATTAAAAAAAATATTAATGACGTGCTAAAAATAAATTATTTTGTTTTTTTGTTTTTTTTGGGTTTCTTTGTTTGATTTCAATTTTTCAAAAAACAGTAATTATTAAAATTTTTTTTAACTCGCATAAAATTAGAAAAGGTGCTTGAATAATCCTTTATTAAGTAAAGTTCTGTGACTTTTGTCTCATAGGTATAGAAATTATGTGTATCAGCCTATGTTTGATGTGCATATTGATTGTCACACAAGTGAAGGCGCGGAATGTATACACCGTTGGATACCTTTAAAGGTAGACAAAAAAAAGTTAAAATTTAAAATATATAAAGTTTTAATTCTTTATTATATTTCATATTTTTTCATCAAACTTTTTTTTTTTAAAAAAAAAAAAATTTTTTTTTTAAAAATGAATACTTTTCAATCTCAAGGTTACATTCCAACCGCAAAATTTCTTTCAGTTAGTGATAAGGATATGAAAGAAATGATTGACCACATACTTGAACAACAAAAAAATCGATCGGATCGGATTTTGATGGTTGGACAAATCGGTGATTTTATTCCATTTTATGAACTTGCCTTTAAAGTTATTCAGAATGTATTGGAATATATTAGCGAAAAAGAATCAATTCATGAACAACTTATGGAACGAAAAATTGATCGTGCGATAACAAAACATGCTATGAATACAATGATAGCTGAAATAAATGTTATTGAAAATCATATTAAACGTATGGGGGACATTAACCTTACTTTAAAAGAACGAAAAATTGAAGTACCTTACGTATTAGGTTCTTGTCTTAAGATTTTAAACGAGTTCAATAATAAACAACATATTTATTATATGCATCCTCTTATTACTTCCCCTTTCTTAATTGCTTTCTCTCAGATATATATTACTGCTTGTACATATGGAATTGAACTTATTCCTTCATATGAAGAAAGAGTTGAAAAGGAAAAGAAATTATTAAAAGAAGTTATTGAAGAATATAAAACGAATACCATTAAAGAAAGACTCGAAATGATTAAAGTTGTTCATATGTTAAAACTTCCACATTATGAAGGTGATATTAAAGATAATATGATTGAATTAATAAATCCTGCGAATATTGGAAATATTCTTAATAATTTGAAAAAAGATACGGAACTTTTATCATTACATGAAGTAGATATTGTTAAGGATGGTTTTGGTTTTGATAGTAAACCTAATGAATTACATTATTGGGATCGTACATTTTGGGATCAAAAACAACAATGTTCGAATAATTATGATTATTCAATAGTAGTAAAAATTGCATACGAGCAATATTTTGATGAAGTTCTTTCTTCCATTTATTAGATAATTTAGCGAGTTTTACGACGTGTAGATATTTTGACCTTATAGTATTTTCTTTTCATTTTGTTTTTTACACTAGATTACAAATAAGAGATAATTATTATTTGTATAATAGTATATAAAAAGTATTTAGATGTTTACTGTGATATTTAAAATATATCAGTCCATAAATAATAGAGGAAGACAAGGATTATTTTCATTCATGACCGCATTCCAATTATTTTTCGCATAGTTCTGTACATTTTGATAACTTACAATATTATTTACTTTAAATAAATCATTTACTAAATATTATATATTTTTCATTCTTAAAACATCATGCAATGTCACGATGATCAAAATATGTGCAAGATATCTTTCATTAACAAAATAGATATTTTTTAACGTTCTTGTCATGCTCAAATTTAAAATAATACTGTATATATAAAATTTGTTTAATAAAAACATGGATAAAAAAATTAAAAGGAATTAGATACAGGATCGAAATTAATTCATTTTTATTATCATATTCTAATTATATAAAAAAAAATAGTATCATACATTTATCATTTTGATATTTTTGAACGAAAAAAAAAATGATAGACTTATCGCCAATATCACATAATCATTATGTCGAATGATTTGAGATTCATAAAAATTTTTTATTTTCTATTCCGAATCCGAAATAATGAATTTTACTATATTAATTTTTACAGGCAAGGATTATGAAATTGATAAACGAAATTATAATCATAAAATCAAAAATTCTCACTGAAAGTAGTTGATAAGTATTGGTTACCTAATAGTACTTAAAAAATATTAATAAGCATTTCATAGATGAAATAATCAAACCGAACTTTATAATAAAATGGTAAGGTGCAAAATAATTAACAAGTATAAATGTTTTTATATTAACTGTTAATATAACTTTATAAGAACGAGATATAAAGTTTTTTAAAAAATTATAATTCCATATTACCTATCGTACAGATAATACATTTTTAAATAACTCTATCTAGAAGCTAATGTAATTTGAATTCTTTAATATTACGTCCTTTGTCAAATATAACTTTTACATTATAGTTAATAAGTTTCTTGGAGAAAATTCAAAAAATCACTGGGTAAGGTACGATTTAAATTTTGCAAATTAAAAAAAAAATAGAAAAAAGAAATTTAGCAATTTAATACATGATAAAAAAACATTTTAAAACCATTACTAACTAAATAAAATAAAGTAAAATGAAATGCCATCAATATTTATATGGTTCAATAATTTATCCTAAGGAGAAATTATATCGAAGCAATCACTTGTTAACGTGATCAAAGGTGATTAAAGTGTAAGACGACAAAATAATGAATGTGAGACTTTTCCGGAGTCCTGAAATAAATACTAACAAAAATTAAACCGTTTGTAGTATAACAACTTTGTCACTACATTACAAATTTTGATTTAATCTAATCTACAATTTTAATTATGACAGACAATATTAAGTAATTGTGGAAAATATATCTGCAAACGATGCTTATTACCGTACATTGAAAATGTAGCGAATAACGCACTCATATAAATATTGTTACAAATTATATCCCTATAAAAAATGTTTCAGAAAAATGATCACGTGTCTGAGTTTCTTCGGAATAAAAACTAGAAAAATGATCATTTTTCAGAGTTTTTCACAGAATCATTTCATAGGGTATTCCTTGTATTAAACATGAGTTAACAAAACAGTGTAATCTATTTGATAGTATTCTTCTGGATTTAGAATAAACTATTCCAATTCTTTAAGATTTGCAATCATAACCTAAAATTTTTAATCAATTTATATAAAAATTGAATGTACTATAGATATTATTTGAAACAGATATAATTACTCAATGTAAAAATGTAAATTAATATCATTGATATTACAAATGTTAGTGGTGGAAATCGCAAGATAGATAAATTTTTATTTTCACAAGAACAAATACTGTTAATTGTGGAATTAAATGAATAATATAAATGATGATTCATATTCTTTAAACGTATATAGTTTTATTGAACGAATATTACTAATTCAAAGCGCACTATTTATAAAGCAATTTTGTTAATTAAGACTCAGATTTTCAAATTCACACGATATTAGAAAATAATATTAAATAATTATAGCCATATAATTTAATATACAGTACGTGGATCCTTTTATTCCAAGTAATGAAATAAAGTACCATTTGATGTTACTTCTTATTAAAAATAGGTAGTAATTTTGTGACTAAACAATAATTTAAACAAATCTGACAAATATTTGAAGATTCATTTAAACTTTTTTGCACTATTGAATAACCATACTTTTCACTAATAAGAGCATTTTTAATTTCGGGGCATCATTTGTCACCTTCATAATATTTTACGTTAACTTCATAAGTTTTATTTTTTCAACCTTATTACTAATAATACCAATTATGTAATTACAAATTCATTCAACAAAATTCATTTGTAAACCGTGCCAAAAGGTCTTGTGTAAGAAATTGAAATTTATTTGTTATCCATATTGGGTTAAATTTATACTATCCGTATATTTGATTCTGGATATTCGAAATTAATTATAGTGCTGGCAGAGTATCAATAGTGTTGGCCGACATTTAAAATCCCGTGATCCACATTCGCAGTTTTTTAAATTCATATTAGTTGATATTTTCAACGGATAATAACGACAACAGATTGTCTGACGGATAAACAGAAATTAATCGTTTTAGGCGGATAATCTATATGGTCGGGTTTCGGTTCGCATCTCTGACCCTTCATTGTGTATAAGGAGTATAAGGGGTCCACTCAAATAATTCGTATTTATTCCTTGCTTTTAATGCAATTCTTGAATCGACTCGTCCAATTGCCAAAATTTTGCTGAAATCATTTGTAGTGGCATTCTCTGCATATAGATATTAATATCACTATCAGAAGAATCATTTAAATTCGCAATACTATTAATTTTACTAGTAACATTATCGTTATATAACGAATTATTGCTTAATTTTATAGATTAAAAAAAAAATATAATTTTAATTTATTTTCAATAATTCATAGGCTATATAACTCAAATAAATGATTATAATCTTGACGAATCGCCTTATCACGATACGTCTGATAAAAATTTGTTAAATATCTCAATATAAATACGGGAAAAAATTATCCGTTTTTTGCCATGTTTAAATCTTAAATCATACATTCATCTAAATAGGAAAACATTTATTTAATTACATAATATAAAAATATTATATATACGTACCAAAATATTCGTTCATTTCAGTATTATCATAATTCATAATTACAATTTTATCACTTAACGAGTCTTGTGATAAATATTCATTCAATTTAGCTGAATATTTAATTTTTCTACTTGTATAACAAGAATTCGGATGATATTTAATTTTTAATTCATTCTCTAAAAAGAAAAAAAAATTGGTAAAATAAAATGTAATTTTATATTAAATGATTAAGTGTATAATTACCAGGTATATGTACTATTTTTTTCATCGTTATCCTCTTGGAATTTACAGTATCAACCCATTTTTCATAAATCATTTTCAATTCTTTAGCAGTTGGCCTTTTTTTAGGATCATCATTCCAACGCCTTTTCATTAATTCTGCATATTCAGGCATACTACTAGTTCCTCCCATAATTTCCGGTCTAATACCTTTACAAATATCTATAAATTTATCAACATGTTCATTTCCACCGGTCCAATTATCAAAATTTTTCCGAAATTTTTAGAATTACATTCTTTCACCAATTGTCATGAGACATTCAGGGAATAAGCCGTAATCTTGATTAAGTATTCTCTCTTCAATAATATTTAAGTCATCATTGGAAGAATCATTTGCAATAATAATTTTATTAGCAACTTTATCCTCTTCAATAATATTCATTTTTTTTTTGAAGTTTTAGTAACGTAAAAAATGAAAATTCTAACTCATGAGGAAAATCTGAAAGCAACGAAAAATTTATATTTTCGTTTTAAAGAATTCGTTAGTAAGTTGATTAATTCTGTAATCAAATATGTTTGGGTTAAATAATGATTATATTTTGTCTTCCAAATTTAGAATTAATTGTGAATCCAAAATATAACGGCGCAGCAATTGCCTTTCTTACTTTAATTAAAATTCATATGTATAAAACAACGTACTAATTTATATTGGTCAAGTATGAAATCCTTTTCTCATTATTTCTTAAAATATCAGTTAACGTGAAATCCATTATATCGCATAGTTGTTATATAGTGTTCTGTATTTAATGATTTTTTCCTCTTTGTATAAATTATAAAATTTTACTTTGTATTTAGCATGTAAAATTGAAATCGTCATTCCAAATATATGAAACTTAATTATTTTTTTTTAAAACGTTATGGATCGTTAGTCACTGTTGCACGTGATCCAGATAATAACGTGATTTACATTGTAACATTAGTATTCTTATATGGTTACTCCTCTCTCAGAAATAAATCTTAAAAAAATTATACGCAACTAGTATCTAAAGTGAAACGAATAAAAAAAAAATTTATCATGCATTTTTAATGGAATATTTTAATAAAAATTTAATATGCTATTATAACAGCTCATAAAGATATATTTTTTGAAGAAAAAAATAATATTAAAGGTTATATTTGTTAATAAAATAATCTAAAATATTTAAAAGATCGATATGAGAAAAAGGTATTCATTTCCTACAAAAACAAAATAATATATTAAAGATTCACTTTACAGTACTTTCAGCATATTATGAGTTTCTCTTAAAATAGTACACTACTCTCTATTTTCCTATTAACATTTTATTTTTGACTAAGAACTACACAACTACACTCGTCTCAAATCAAAATTTTTTGCGCAATTATATACTTGAATACTTTATTATAATATAAAAAAAAAAATTGCTGAAGTTAAACAATAAAAAAAAATAATATTAAAATTTCAAAAAATTTTAATAATAATTCAGATATTTAAAAATAATCTATCGATCTATTCTAATAAACACATTTGTTTAAAAAATATTTATCTACTATATTTATGTACTAAAAAGACTGACACATTTAATTATTTGAATCACTCTTTGTATCAATCAATTTCATTTTGTTCATTTAATAATGTAAGAATCTTTTTTGCATCATCATTTCCACCTTCGGCTGCTTCTTTATATAAATTAAAAGCCCTTTCCTTATCAACATTAACTATAATTCCATTATCATAATAATAACCGAGCTTACATTTTCCATTTACACATCCTTCTTCGGCTGCCTGTTTATAATAACCAAATGCTCTAATCTCATTCCTATTTACACCTTTTCCTAATTCATAAATTTCTCCTAATTTATATAAAGCAAGTTTATCATTTTCTGCTGATCTTTTATACCAATAATTAACCATATTTAAATCATTTACTAGTTTTTCATTATCTTCATACATTAATTTAAGATATTCCATTGCATTATTTTTTCCTTTTACAATCGCCTCATCATATAATATCATTCCTTTTTCTTTATCAACTTTTGTTCCAATTCCATTAACATAACAATATCCAAGATGAAATTTTGCATTTACATATCCTTTTTCAGCTGATTTCTTATAATATTCAAATGCTTTATTTTTATCTTTTACTGTACCTATTCCTAATTCATGACATATACCCATGTTATCACACGTAACTTCATTTTCATTTGTTGCCGCTTTTTGGAACCAATAATTGGCTTTTTCAAAATCTTTTTCAGTTCCTTCTCCCATAATATATAAAAATCCAAGATTATTTTGTGCATCTATATATCCTTTTTCAGCTGCTCTTTTATATAACTCAAAAGCTTTTATTTCATCTTTTTCAACTCCTATACCAAATTTATAATGATATCCTAAATTATGTAATGCTAATTCACACCCATTTTCTGCTGCTTCTCTATACCAATAAATAGCTTGTACTAAATCTTTTTCTGTACCTTCTCCATTTTCATATAAATATCCGATTTTACTTTTTGCAACATTAAGTCCTCTTTCAGCTGCAATTTTATACAATTCAAACGACTTATCCTTATTAATTTCAGTTCCAATACCTAAATAATAACAATTTCCAAGTTCAAACTGTGCATTTAAGAATCCTTTATCAGACGCCATTTCATAATATTCAAACGCTTTTTTTTCATTCTTTTCAACACCAAACCCGTTGTAATAACAGACACCTAAATTATATTGTGCTGCTATAACTCCATTCTCAGCTGCTTTATTATGCCAGTAAACAGCTTTTTCTGGATCTATTTCTGTTCCTACTCCACTTTGATATAAAATTCCAAGATTACTTTGCCCAATATTATGTCCTCTTTCTGCTGTAATTTTATATAATTCAAATGCTTTTGTCTTATCAACTTCAGTTCCAAGTCCTTTATCATAACAATATCCAAGTTCAAATTGAGCTTCTAAATGTCCTTGTTTAGCTGATTTTTTAAAATATTCAAATGATTTAACATCATCTCTTTTAACACTTATACCATGTTTATAGTAATATGCTAAATTATATTGTGCTATTTTACATCCATTTTCTGCTGCTTTATTGTACCAATAAATAGCTTTTGCTAAATCTAGTTTTATATATTTACCATTTTTATATAAAGTTCCAAGAGCACTTTGCGCTGCAGTCTGTCCCTTTTCAGAAGCAATTGTATATAATTTAAATGCTTTAATTAAATTAGTATCAACTCCAATTCCATTTTCATAACAATATCCAAGTTCATATTGAGAATCTAAATATCCTTGATTAGCTGATTTTTTAAAATATTCAAATGATTTTTTTTCATTTTCCTCATTTTTATAATGAATACCTAATTTATATTGTGATAATTTATTTCCATTTTCAGCTGATTTTTCATACCAATAAATAGATTTTTCTAAATCTTTTTCTATATTTTGATAATAATCACCTAATATATTTTGCGCTAATGAATATCCTCCTTCAGCAGATTTAAAATACCATTCAAAAGATTCCTTATCATCTTTTTTTATTCCAATTCCATTTTGATAACAAATACCAAGATTATATTGTGCATGTATATTCCCTTCATTAGCAGATTTAAAATACCATTCAAATGCTTTCTTTTCATCTTTTATTATTCCAATCCCATTTTGATAACAATAACCTAAATTATTTTGTGCATCAATATTTCCTCCTTTTGCTGATTTTAAATAATATTCAAATGATTTAAATAAATCCTTCTTTTTTCCTATACCATATTGATAACAATGACCTAAATTATTTAATTCTATTAATTCTTTCTTTTTATCATAATCTATTTGATTTTCATTATTATTATTAGAACAATATTTATTTTTTGATTCAAAATATTCTTCCATAATATTTATTTCATCCTTACATAAATTTATTTCTAATCCATTAAAATTTTCAAATTGATTATTATATGACATTGTATGTTTCTTTTCTTCTAAATTTTTAAATTCTTTTATAATCAAATCTCTTTTATTTAAAATAATATCTTTATAATAATAAAATGATAATAAATATTTTGATATAATAATATTAAGTAATTGATAAATAGAAATTAAATTATTATTAATTTCATCATCATCATCATTATTATTATCATCATCATCATTTTTTTTAGTATATTTATTAATTGATAATAAATATAATTTTAAAGATTTATCATCATCATCAAAAAGATTTGATAAATCATTATCATTTATTAAATCATAATCATAAAAAAATCCTATTAAACCTGAAAACCAATTTTCATTTTCTTCATGATCTTCCATTAATTTTAAAATTTTTTCATGATTTAATTCATTATTAATTAAATAATCTTGTACCCAATCAATTAAAATATTTTCAAAATTATTATAATTATCTATTTTTATTATTTGACGATAAAATCCTTTTAAAAATTTTTTTAATAAATTATTATTCTCATTATCTAAATTCATTTTATTTTTATTTCGTTTATGAAGAAGTCTTTTAAAAAAGAGGAAGAGAAATAATAGACGTACAAATTAAATTAACGTTACAATTAATAACTAATTATAGGAGATTAAAACACTGCGCATAAAGGAAATAATAAATTCGCTATTAACCGCTGTAGCCACTGTCACACTAACTTATAATGGTAATTTGGCGGCTTGGCGCTTGTTGCTGCGGTATTGCTGCGGTATAATGAGAATTATTTTTAGGATAAACGTTTATCAAAATATGCAAACAGCCATTGCAGCCAGTCACACCAAGACTGTTGCTGCGGTATTGTTGTTTCACGAATCTGTACATAAATTTTATCAAAGAGAATTACTTTACGTTAATGGTTTTGATTGACGAAGGATTTGCTAAACAAGTTAAAGGCGGACTTCAATATTTTTATATTATTCATGAGATTAAATATATTTATTGCATATAAATATAATAATTTTATTAAATAAAATTTAAAATGTTTATTATACTGCCGTACAGTAAAAAAAAAACTTTTTTATTCTGTCTAGACATAAAATTGAAGTCACATTTATTAATCCAATATGGAAGAATTTTATGCTTACTGATAATATATTTGAGATTATATAAAAATAAATGATAATCATTTCATTGGAACTTAATAATTACCTAAGATGAAATGATTAACCAGTTACTGCGATTTTGTAATAATTGATATACATTCCGGTTGTGTAAAATTTGTTTGTCATACAGTATATACATTGCAGAAACTTTTAAAATCGAAACCATATCGTGACCATGTCAAAATTTTATCGTAGGAATTATAACCAAGACTTGGTCGCGACATAGTTTCACATTGCCACGATAAGTTTAATATAATCGTATGAGTAAAGTTACTGCATATTAAGAAAACTGTCGCTGGGTCATACAAGATCGTAAAGTATTAGTAAGCTAAATATTAAACATATATTCAAGTTATGTTAAAGTTGCAGTAAATGTATATTTAAGTTATATTGAATAAATATCAAAGTTAAAGTAAATGTATATTTAAGTTATATTGAATAAATATCAAAGTTAAAGTAAATGTATATTTAAGTTATTTCGAATAGTTATTAAAGTTAAAGTAAACTAATCTTTAATGTATTTTTAAGTTATGTCGAATAGATATTAAAGTTAAATTAAACATATATTTAATTTATATTGAATAAATATGAAAGGAATATATAGAAAGTAAGTAACGGAAATTGGCTAAGTAAGTAACGTAAAGTCACATGATCTATTACGTTACTTTACGTTACTCTTATTGCTAAAGGTCTTCAGTCACGTGACGGATTTAATATTTTTGATTGGCCAAATTGGCCACATGATCGCATCATGTTTATTTGTTTATCGAATCTCGAGGGCAGTTCTTTCAGTCTCAAGGTATTTTTCTTTTCTTTTATTTTTATTTCTAACTTACATTCTGCTTACACTTTGTTTCTTACTAACTCTATTTCATCATTTTTAGGTCCTTTAGTCCTTCCAGTTATGCAATTAAAGTTCAGTTGTTTTTCACTTTACGTTTCGTTTCTTATTCATTTTTTTATTTTTTTTATTTTGTTTCTGTTTCATATTTCGTTTTTCACTAATTTATTTCATTTTTTTTAGATATTTTAGTTCTTTCGGTTTTACAATTAATAAAGGTATGCTTTTTTATTTTTTATTTTTTTTTTTTATTTCATTTTATCTTATATTTCGTTTCTTACTAACTTCATTTTTTTTTTTACTTTATGGTTTTATTTTTAACTTGGTTTCCCAACCTCTTATCATGATCATTTTTTATTTTTTGTCTCCCATCATTTTTCACCTCATATTACTTCTCATTATTCGTCTCCTATTATTTTCTATTACATCTTTTCATTTTCCATCATTTCTTTTTCTCTCCTGTTTATTTCCCATCATTTCTTTTTGTCTCTCATTTCTTTTTGTCTCTCATCGCTTCTTTTTGTCTCTCATCACTTCTTTTCGTTTCCCATCACTTCTTTTCGTTTCCCATCACTCCTCTTCATCTTCCCATCACTTCTTTTCGTCTTCCATCACTCTTTTTCATCATCCATCATGTCCTATTTCTCCTTTTCGTTACACTTCTCATTACTCTTTTTTACTCCCTTTCTTCTTCTATTACTTTCCATTACTCCATTGTTATTTCTTTTTTTTATTAGCATCTTTCTCCTTGATCATTGTAATTTACTTATCTTTTTTATTTTTTGTTATTGTTTTTTTATATGTATCACTTTAAAAATAAATAGTGATTTTTTTCTTTAAAATCGAAAATGTGGGACTTAAATTTTAATATTTTCAAATAAAATTTCATTAAATTTGATTATTTTGAATAAATATATTTGCAAAAAAATTTTTTAAAATATCTTTGCAATAAAATTATAAGTTTAAATGATCAGCCATCAGTCAATTAATAAATTTACTTTATACTGTATATTGTACATCATGTGACATATGATGTTTAGTACCTTGGAGTAACGTAAAGCAAATATAATTGACTTTACGTTCCGTGCCTTATATAAGGAAAGTAACGTAAATTGACCTAAAATAGTAATTTTACGTTACTTACTTAGCCAATTTCCGTTACTTACTTGCTACCTACCGATATGAAAGTCATAGTAAAGTTATATAATAAATTTATTTCCGAAGCCGTAAATAAGTCGTAAAGTATTCTATTGACTCTATTTAAGAAATAGTAGTCTCTAATCTAAATCTAATCTTATTACATAATACAATAAAATAAACCTAAACTAGTCGCATAAAGGAAACAATGCAATTAATAAGAAGAAAAATAAATTAAAACAAAAATACTAATCTAAAAACTGTACCTAAGATCCTTCATATGCCCCAACTTAAACCCAGAGAGTAAGTTCCAGGCCAACTATCCAGAGAGTTAAGTCCTAAAATAATCTAAGTCCAAAAGAGAAAAGTGACCCAACAATCCGAACTGTTTGACTAAACAGAAAATCTAAAACCTGTGACCACCAAGTTTCGCCTTGCATAATAGTGTCTCGAAGTCAAGTCTCCAATTCTGACTTCAGGGGATAATTCTGTTGAAAATGAGAGAGACAAGAACCAGTATTAAGAAGGAGAGATCGGGAAGAGGAATGGTAAGCTCATTTATCTTTAGTGGAAATATTTTGAGAGGTTTCCCATGCAATAAAAGCATTACAATATGCATGCTATAAATAACGATAAATGCGAAGTTGAAAGTGGAAGAGAGCAGAATAAATAATTCCGGTAGAGCATTTTTCGGTAAAAACGTGTAAAAAGACACTGATCTAGTCCTTTGGGATGAAACCACGCACAAGGTCGTGAGAGATTGGCAAATGTGACAATGGAAAGATGGAATTGATTTCATGCTATATGGATAAAGTGTCAAAAGTAGTCAGGATGGAAGAGTCGTGAGAGTTTAAATGTTTAATAGCAGAAGCTAATCTTTTCTTAAGGTTATGTTTGAAGAAAAAGAGAAATTCTGAAAACATGTAAAAAGTATGGCCAGTTTCATCTGTGTGAAAAGCATGTGTAGCAGAGCAAGTCCATAAATGAGATAGCGTTTCCAGAGCAGATTGGCATATCGAACACAAAGGTTGATGTGTGTAAAGATCAGGTGCATGCGCAGCCAGGTCGATAGAGTCAGGTGTATCAAACATAAGCTTGGGATATTCTTAAAATAGGTGCTAGGACCATAATATAAAGAAAACTGGAAAAAATTCCAAGTGGCATTCCATGAGTAAAAGGATGCATTATATATGTAGCGGGAAAACCTAAAAAGCATAAAAAGGTTGGAGAAATGTAATTGATCATAAGAAATTTCTGCAGATCAGAATCAATCTTATGATCTTGTTATTGGCAGGTCGTCTGAAATAGTTAAATCATTTGGTGAATAAAAGGAATTTAAAGAAGAATGAACTTTTGCAAGGGAATCAGCACAGTCATTAATAAGCGGATCATCCGAATGCGTAGGAATTAACGTTGAATCACAAAGAAGTTTGAATGGATAGATGAGGAATGGACAGGAAGAATAAAGTTATTTTCATTAGTTTGTATTCAGCCAAGGCCCATGGTTATGTTGGCAGCACCAAAATATTAGACAGAGCCATCGGTGTAAATAAAATAATTATTATCATCAATTGGGAAAAGATATGGGACCGAAAGAGCAGAAATACGAGAAGGACCAAAATCTTTAAAACTTTTTTGTAATAGGTTTAATGCTGGTGGTCTTTGATTATAATAAAGAAGAAAATATTGAATAATAAGAAGTCTTACTGTAACAGGTTAAGATGAAAATGAAAAGTTATTGCAAATCATAAATTGACGATTTCATCCTCGCCTGAACCCTCTTTGCCTGCTTCTTCTCTATCATCTTCGTCTCTTTCATTTTCATCATCTTCTATTACCTTCATCTTCGTCTCTTTCATTAAACTCCATCATCATTCTTTCATATTCACTTTCAAGCACTATACCATTTTCGCTTACTTCTTCATTTTCAATATTGATGGTCGGTATCATTTCTTCTCCTTTATTGTAAATATCCATAATATCATGATCATTACTATTAATAGTCGTACTAAAAGAATAAAAATGATGTTAGAACAAGCGTACATGTCATAATAACAAATGTCGATATTTACAATATTTACCGTTTGTTCTAAAATGTATTTCATTCAACGTTGAAGGTATATTAAACATGTATTATTGTCTAATATAACTGCATTACTAATGTTAGGAGCATAGTGACTTCAGAACATTTTCTCAAAGTGAGAATGTAGTTAAAAATTTTACTTTTGATTAAAAAAATATTCTGAATATAGTTAAATTAAAATAAAATACATTGAAAATATAGCTTAATTTGAATTTAATTTTCAAATGACTTAAAATTTAACTTTCGGTTTAAAACAAAAATATAGCTTAATTTGAAAATATAGCTTAAAATTTAACTTCGGTTTAAAATAAAATACACTAAAAATATGTCATAATATGATATGAAAAGAAAAAAAAAAGAAAAAGAAAAACAACTTTCAGTTGAAATTAAAATCATCACTAAAAAATTTCTATTGTTAATTCCTTTTGTTTAAAATCATCACTAAAAAATTTTTTTTGTTTAAAATTATCACTAAACTGTTTTCGGACAAAATATTATTAATTATTACGTTTACCATACAATATTGCTACAGACTTTTTTTTTGTTCTTATACTGATAAAATCTATAAACAGTACCTAATAAAGAAACTTTTGAGTAATAAACTTTCATACTATAAATATGTTGAAAAGTTTAATAATTTTATTTATAGATTCAGTTAAGCATAGTAATAAACTTTTTTGATTATAAGCTTACAGATATAATAAACTCATTAATTATAAGCTTTGTTAAATTTTTCAATTCGTGATGTGTACTATGTAAACTTTTTCTTTAAAAAAGAATCATATATTTCACTTTCCTAGAGAAATCATTAATTTCTTCCTAAAAAAATATTTTTTTAAAAAAAAAATCGCTATGCCACCAAAAAAACAGGAATAGTATCAAGCAAAAAGGAGATCAGCTTCCAACTACTACTGTATCAACCCGTGGCCGCAAGAAGAAAGAAGTGTGTCTGTCACTGCTTTATCAACAAAGGTTAATACTACTACACTGAAACATAGTTACAAGAAAAAAGAGCAAGATCATGTAATTAATATACTATTGAGAGATGATGACATCGTACCATTACTAGAAGGTGATTATGAACAACCTGCAAATGTATCACTCGTACCATTACTAGAAGGTGATTATGAACAACCTGCAAATGTATCACTCGTACCATTACTAGAAGATGATGATGATCAAGGTAAATGGTACTCTGATAAATTTTGCGATTTTTGGTACACCTATTAATTATAATTTTTCCTTAGCTTCAAATCATGCATCAAATAACAATGATGAAGATATTACAGCCTTTAATTCTTTTAACTACATTAAGAAATGATATTGATTTGTCTCCAAATCATCCATTAAGTGATCATGATGATATTGAGGTTTCAAACATTATTAGACATAAAGAGATCACAAAACGAAGCTTAAATCCATTAAGGCTTCCACTGTTAGTTCCAGCATCAAATAATTCAAACATCAATTCAAATAATTTTTCACCATTATTATCAACACCAAATAATTCAAACATCAATCATAATAATGTATCAAGTGGTGCCAGCCAATTTGATAGCATTTTTGGGTTAAATGATGGAGCTATCGACTCAGTTCATGGTAGTGTACAAATCCTAACATTTTGAAACAGGCTAATAGTATGTATTCATTAATGCAAGTACTAATGGCGGATGGGAGACGATTTACAATGCCTATTTCTTCAAACTCATCAACCTCAGTGCATCATCAAGATGACAAAGTAAGTTTTACATAAATTATTAAAATATTTGTCATAGGTGATGGCTCATTGTGACTTCTTAGAGGAACTAAAATGTCTGTTCCTATGAGTTCAAAATCCTCCAAGAAGTGCGCTTGAAAATTTGGCACTCCAGATTATTAACTGTGACTTAAATTCGAATGAAGGAATCAATTGGCTTAAATAGCCAGTAAGTACTTTTGGTGACTTTCGTAACAAGTTGGTCAATAGTATTCAAATTATTCAAAGAAAACAATGCACGGTTAGTGGTTTTCACTTTTACTCATGTAAAATTACGATTAACATTTTTACTAATTAATTTTCTTGAGACTACAGGGAATCAATTAATCCGCAAATGGAAGAGATTGCTGCATTCGTAGATAAGTCTGTAACGGTCCACGTGCTAAACCGATGGTTAAATGCCACAAAAATGGACGAATTACGAGCCAAAATTCAATGGTGAATTTGCATAGATTTGTTATAAGAGCTTTTGCCATAAATTATTATCAAGAGACCCAGAAAAAATGAAAGCTTTAAACAATATAACGCGCAATATTTCTGTGCCATCACGAAATGGTAAAAATTACGCCAGCAATTTGCAACTTTAATATTTATTTATCATCGCTATTTTATATTAGTATATTTTATTATTTTTATAAGTTTTATATAACAAATATTCCTTATTATGATATAACGGATAATACGCTTTTTACAATTATTAGTATTAGAAAAGTATTAAAAATTTTACTAATATATAATTGGCTTTTTATTAAAATGTATTTTATACTTAATAAATAAATGTATCAAAAAAAAAAATAAATGAAGAAATCGGTAAATAATATATAATGCATCGAAAAAGTATATTAGATTAATTGTTTCAGCTAATTTTCGATGATATTTCCTAGCTATTTAAGACCATGTCACAACCATGTCACAACTTCGACAAGACTACGAAAAAGCCTGTCATCAATGGTTCCACAAGATAGTCCGACACCATCTTCCCCAGTATCGCCAGAAAATTTTTTCACCCCCACGTGACCCTAAATAATTTGTCACTTGTGTCACATCCCTCCACTTTCTCATTTTTTATAAGTATTCTGGGGACTTAGATTTTTTTCGGTGTCTAAAATCCTATTCGTCACACGTTATTCGACACATGGTTAATTTCTTAATTCCAGCCAAATCTTATAATGCCGGCCAAAGTCACGTGGGGGTGAAAAAATTTTCTGGCGATACTGGGGTAGATGTCCGACACCACGATAGTCACGTGTCTGATACTAGATCGTTGTGATTTATTGGCGATCACTTATGGGTTTCTGCAATGTAATCACCACTTTTGCATATAATACATTTTGCATAAATATTGTTACCATATTTATTCATACTAATAAAGGCGTTTAATAATAAAAAAAAAAGAAAAAAAGATATTTACTTTATCTTTTTCAATTAGGGAGAATTTTGATATAGCAATGGGTGGTAAAGGTAAAGCATACAGTATAACATGAATAATAATATAAATTAGATTTATCAAAATTATTAAAACAAATTTGTAATGTAATAAAACTAGTTTTGTGTGATACCAAAGAACATATAATATATGAAACAAAATTGAAATATTAAGATTTTTATTTATTAAATAAACTTAATTGGTAATAATCAAATATAATTAAACCAAATTTGCAATTTAACAAACTAGTTTCCAGCAATATCAAAGAATTTGAAGAAAGTGGTACTGAAGAATTTGAAAGTAGTAGTATTGAGAAATTTGAAGGAAGTAACACCAAGGAATCAAAAGGTATATCAAACAAGCTGAAATATTAAGTTTTATTTATAAACAATTCAAATACTACTAGACTAACTATATTATATAAATATTATATTAAATACTTAGCTTGTAAGTTAATATAATTGAATAAAGATAAATTACTCATTAATTTTATTGTATTTCATATAACTAAATAATTTATTAATGATTAATAATACTGTAGTTAGTAAGTTATCGGTTATTTAAATCTTTAGTCCTCTACTTTATTTATTTTACATAACATTCAAATAACTAAATTCTTTGTCTATATAACTATTTAATAATTGATTATATTACAGATGGTAAGCTATAGTAATATATATATTATATTTATTTGTTTAATATTTTACATAATTCAACTAATTATATTCTTAATTTAATTAACTAGATTGTAAGTAATATATATGATTTACAGTAAATACTTTTATATTATCTTTATATCTAACAAATTAATAATTAATACTATAGGGTGTAAGTTATATGATGTCTATATTTATATTATTTATATAATTTAACTAATTTCTTTATTTGAAAAATTATTAAATAATATAGTTCGTAAGTTATTTATTTAATTCTATTATTACTTATTATTATAACATTTACATATAATTTAAACTAACTAATTTCTTTATTTAAAAAATTATTTTGTAATTATTTTAGTTGGTAAGTTATAAGTTATTTACTTAATTCTATTATTACTTATTGGTTATAATATTTACATATAATTTAAACTAAATAATTTATTTATTTTAAAAATTATTTTATAGATAGTAAGTTAATTATTTAATTCTATTATTACTTATTGTTATAATATTTACATATAATTTAAACTAACTAATGTCTTTATTTAAAAAATTATTAAATAATATAGTTTGTAAGTTATTTATTTAATTATATTATTACTTTTGTTATAATATTTACATATAATTTAAACTAACTAATTAATATAGTTTGTAAGTTATTTATTTAATTCTATTATTACTTATTGTTATAATATTTACATATAATTTAAACTAACTAATTTCTTTATTTAAAAAATTATTAAATAATATAGGGAGTAAGTTATTTATTTAATTCTATTATTACTTATTGTTATAATATTTACATATAATTTAAACTAACTAATTTCTTTATTTAAAAAATTATTAAATAATATAGGGAGTAAGTTATTTATTTAATTCTATTATTACTTATTGTTATAATATTTACATATAATTTAAACTAACTAATTTCTTTATTTAAAAAATTATTAAATAATATAGGGAGTAAGTTATTTATTTAATTCTATTATTACTTATTGTTATAATATTTACATATAATTTAAACTAACTAATTTCTTTATTTAAAAAATTATTAAATAATATAGGGAGTAAGTTATTTATTTAATTCTATTATTACTTATTGTTATAATATTTACATATAATTTAAACTAACTAATTTCTTTATTTAAAAAATTATTAAATAATATAGGGAGTAAGTTATTTATTTAATTCTATTATTACTTATTGTTATAATATTTACATATAATTTAAACTAACTAATTTCTTTATTTAAAAAATTATTAAATAATATAGGGAGTAAGTTATTTATTTAATTCTATTATTACTTATTGTTATAATATTTACATATAATTTAAACTAACTAATTTCTTTATTTAAAAAATTATTAAATAATATAGGGAGTAAGTTATTTATTTAATTCTATTATTACTTATTGTTATAATATTTACATATAATTTAAACTAACTAATTTCTTTATTTAAAAAATTATTAAATAATATAGGGAGTAAGTTATTTATTTAATTCTATTATTACTTATTGTTATAATATTTACATATAATTTAAACTAACTAATTTCTTTATTTAAAAAATTATTAAATAATATAGGGAGTAAGTTATTTATTTAATTCTATTATTACTTATTGTTATAATATTTACATATAATTTAAACTAACTAATTTCTTTATTTAAAAAATTATTAAATAATATAGGGAGTAAGTTATTTATTTAATTCTATTATTACTTATTGTTATAATATTTACATATAATTTAAACTAACTAATTTCTTTATTTAAAAAATTATTAAATAATATAGGGAGTAAGTTATTTATTTAATTCTATTATTACTTATTGTTATAATATTTACATATAATTTAAACTAACTAATTTCTTTATTTAAAAAATTATTAAATAATATAGGGAGTAAGTTATTTATTTAATTCTATTATTACTTATTGTTATAATATTTACATATAATTTAAACTAACTAATTTCTTTATTTAAAAAATTATTAAATAATATAGGGAGTAAGTTATTTATTTAATTCTATTATTACTTATTGTTATAATATTTACATATAATTTAAACTAACTAATTTCTTTATTTAAAAATTATTTTACAGATGGTAAGTTTTTTATTTAATTCTATTATTATTATTGTTATAACATTTAATATAATTTAAACTAACTAATTTCTTTATTTAAAAAATTATTTTTGATCTAGCTTGTAAGTATCTCTATCATTATATATTTTATATAGTATTTATTTGTTAACTGAATTCTTTCATTTGAAAAATATCTGTTACTTTAGTTGGTAAGTTGTAAAATGTAAATTATAGGTTATTATATGTATTTATCCAAAAATTAAGACTTATATTATATTACATTAAATTCCTAATTAAATTTTAGAGTAAGTAATAATTTGTTTTGTGTATATTATAATACAGTCTATAATATCTATAATATAATTTTAATTATTTAAATTTATAGATTTGGGAAAAGTAGAAATACAATTATGGATGATTTTATCCTTGAAAAAAGATTAAGATGGATTCCTTATAACAAATTTAAAAATATTGAATATTTTAGTGAAGGAGGATTTGGTACTATATACAAAGCTATTTGGTTAAAGAATAATGGAGATGAAGAAGTAATTCTTAAATGTCACAAGAATTTAAATGAAAATTTAAATGAATTTTTAAAAGAAGTATGATAGTATATTATTTCCATTTTTTAATTTAAATTAAAATTAATAAATTATTATTATTTTTTATAGTGGAAATATCATACAAATGTTTTAAGTTCGAATGATATTATATTTTTTTATGGATTTACAGAAGATCCAAATACTTCAAAATATATGGTAGTAATGGAATATGCAAATAAAGGTAATTTAAGAGAAAATTTAACAAGAATAGTCAAAAATAATTGGAATCAAAAATTATATATGTTGTACGAAATTATTTCTGGACTTAGTGAAATACATAAAAAAAATCTTATTCATTGTGATTTTCATGATGGTAATATTTTAAATCATAATCATGAGGATAAGGATAAAATTTATGTGTGTGATTTAGGATTATGCCAACCTGTAAAATCATTTTTGAAAAAGTATGATGTTTATGGTGTAATGCCATTTATGGCTCCAGAAGTTTTAAGAGGTAAATCTTATACTCCAGCTAGTGATATATATAGTTTTTCTATGATTATGTGGGAACTTACATCCGGGGTACCACCATTTAATAATAGAGCACATGATATGCAACTTAGTTTTAGTATTTGTAAAGGTGAACGTCCTGAAATTATTGAAAATACTCCACAATGTTATGTAGATTTAATGAAAGAATGTTGGAATGAAGATTTATCAAAAAGACCATCTTCTAAAGAAGTATTAAAAATTATTGAAAAATGGATTTTCTGTCCTCCTTATGATGAAATTAATGAAGAATTAAAAAGCAACATTATGGAATTTATAAATGCACCAATTAGGCAGTATAACAATCTTGTTATTGAATCACATCCACAAGCATGCTATACAAGTCGCTTACTTGATTTTACTAGTAAAAAATTGAATGAAATGATAGCAAGTGAAGGTTTGAGTGAATATATGGTTAATTCGAAGCCATTAGGTATGTAATATAGTATATAAAGAAAATTAATCTTGCAAATTATTTGTGTGAAATTAATTTTATTTAATATTTAATTATTTAGATATTAAAACAGATGAAAATTAACTAATTATTGTTTGTTTTTAAAAAAATTTATAGTTTTTTTAAGTGATATTTGATATTACACATTCAAAAGAAATTTTATTTTATTTTATTCTTTTTAAACTTATTTAAACACTAAGGCTAGAGTAGTAAAATATTTTACAAGTCTCTTAGTTTGTAATTTAAATAATTCTTTTTCACTTTTTTTTTATTATACTTAGAATATTTAAACACTAAGATTAGAGTAGAAGATATTTTACAAGTTTCTTAGTTTGTAATTTAAATAAATCTTTTTTTATAACTTTTACAATTATGAGATATAAATTATCAAAATAATAATACAAAACCATTTCCAAAGATAATGTAAAATTTTTTATACTTATTTCAATAGCTAATTGTATTTAATCTATATTTGTTGACTTTTAAATATTTTGATAAGAAACTACACCAAGCTGGATTATATAATGCATCAGTTATTTATTTTTCTTAATAAACTAAAGTCTTCTAACTTTATTCTACTGTATTTCGAATTTCGATGTACAAGTAAAAATGTACATGCTAAAATGAATATATGTAATAATTTATTGCTTAATGTAATTAAATTAAAAAAAAAAATTCAAACGTACAATAAATTATTATACTACAAATCACAGTAAACAATTCACTTGTTAATAATAATAATAAGAAGAATCGGGAAAAAAGGCAATTACCGTGGTGCCGCAGCATCAATTCGATCACTGATCTAAATCTAAATGGTTTAAGAATGTGGTTCAGAAAAAAATTTGGTTTGAAAAAAAAGGCCAAACCGAAAAAGAAAAGGTGAAAAAAATTTTCAGATTGGGAAAGAAGTCAAAAGCAAACCTGAAAAAAGAAAAGTGAAAAAAGAAAAAGGATAAAAAAGGAAATCAGTTTAAAAAAAGGGAAATTTTCAAAAAACATATACAACATGACTTGCGGGTCTTAGCTTTTAAGAATACGGATCAGCAATTCAAAATTCGAGCTACTGAAAAGTAGAATTTTTTTGATCGTT